GCGTTCAGCTGCCTCTCCAGGGCCGGCGTGTGGCCTTTGGAACAGCAAGCTGAAGCGGAAAACAAGGTTTGAGAACTTGCAACTTGAGAAGATGATGGTTACCAGCCCTGCATTGCCTCAGGGAAGAACAGGAACTACTCTACCATTCTTGAGGAAGCCAGATACCGGAGAATTCTTCGGCCTATGGACAGTGAGAAGATGATGGTTACCAGCCCTACATTGCCTCAGGGAAGAACAGGAACTATTCTACCATTCTTGAGGAAGACAGGTACCCGAGGATAGCTCACGCTCTAGAGCCCCACGGCACCATTCCAACAATGGCGGATCCGCACGAGACCCACCCTTGATCCAACATTAAATGGAATCTATGATCCCTATTGGTGAAAACTAAACTTGTGGCCCTTCTCCCTTTACTTACAGGTATCATATTTTCAATGGTTCCCCTGGAAGATGACTGTATATAGCAGAGATAGTGTAATGGGAGAGGGGGAAAGGGCAGAGGGTCAAAGATAGGATAAAAAACATATATGTATGTATACATGGTATGAAAGTAGAAATGGAATATTATTGATGATAACATGCTGGTATGGAGGATCTATTGCTGAGTGAAATAAGCCAGGCTATGAAAGAGAGATATTGTACATATCCACTCAATATACACCGACTATCCGCACTCTATAGTAGAGAGCAATAAATCGGAGGACATAAAAACAGTGAAGGTACTTAATGAGAATAGGACAATGTGGAGTGGGGTGAGTGAAGAGAAGAGGATAGAAGGGGATAGCAAGTGAACAATAGAGAGTCAGGACTGAGAAATAGATAGGGCTTATAAACTGTTGATGACATGTATGGTATTCTCAACTGGATTGGTCTGGGAGGTGTTTCATGATGGGCAAAGTATTTTTACCAGCAAAACGAGAAATAGCAATTGACTGTTTGAGTTGATTTTCACACCTAACAAACTTTGCAGTAGCTGCAAGTTGAATTTTAGGCCTAAGAATGGAATGTTGAAGTGGGGAGATCAATGTCCCTGTACTGACTGACGTGCATGGCATTCCCTTTTGAAGAAATAATGTAATACACTGTAAAGTTATATGTAATCCAATGTAATATGAAGAAGATATGATGATAAAAAATAAAAAATTAAACATAAAAAAAAAAAGAAGAAGGCTTGTAACAATCCACACAACTACCAATCCACACAGCCATCACAGAGGACAATGGACCAGTTTGCCATGACCTCACCAACACTAGGTATCCACTTTTATTTAAAATTCTTCACTTAACATTTATAAAAACACTACTTTATTAAGATAAATATAGGGGCCAGCAAGTGGCATGGTGGTTAAGACACTGGACTCCCACATGGCTCACTGCAGTTTGAGTCCTGGACCTGGTGGTTTGCTTTCTTACTTTCCTTCTCTCTCTCTCTCTCTCTCTCTTTCTCTGTCTCTCTCTGGTAAGCACATATGTCCTATAGAAAATTAAAAATAATAATAAAATTAAATTAAAAAAATTCTTTAAAAAAACTTTTTTAATAAGAAATATAAACATATTCTCAGATTGAAAATGAAAAAAAAATGGTGTAAAGAGAGGTGTGAGGGGGGGCTGGACTCCCACATGGTCAACAGCGGTTCAAGTCCTGGACTTAGTAGCTTGCTTTCTCACTTTCCCTCTCTCTTTTTCTCTGTCTCTCTCTGATCAAACTGGAAAATAATAATAATAGTAAATAGTGGTAAATAAAATAGTTCTAAGAAAAAAGAAATGTCTGAGGAAAAGTGTGCAAAAGTAGAGGTGATATGTTGATATCTCAATAGACAAATTGTTTTTATCCTCATATTCCATGAAATCCTATTATTTCAGAACTTAGTGATCAATTGCTTTTACTGAGGAACTGGGAGTCTATAAGCAGGTTTCAGTGTTTGGATTTGTAAACCATGCCCTAGATTAAGGTCAACATATAGAATATAAAATATATACAGATGCTCCTCAATCTGTAATGGGGTTATCCCAATAAACTCACGGTACATTGAAAATATGCAAGGTAAAAATGCATTTATTAATAATACACATAACTCATCAGACATCATAGCTTAGCCTAGCCTACCCTAAAAATGCTCAAAACACTTACATTGGCCTACAGTTGGGCAAAACCATCTCACACAGTCTATTTTATTGTAAAGTATTAAATGCCTTGCATAATTTATTAAATATGGATCGAAAATGGAACATAGAAAGATGATACAGGCACACAAAATACGGTTCCCACTGAATGAATGCCAGTTTCACACGGTATAAGGCTGAAAGATTAAGTCAGACAACTGTACATCGGAGACTACCCAATAAAGGAATCTGCGTGAGCGTGGACAGTAAAGCACACAGGCAGCTTACCCCACTGAGAACGTAGACACACAGAGTATAGATCATCCCAATGGTGGCCGTCCCGACAAGGCACAGGAGGAACCTGATGGCATCCCTGTAGAGCTTAAAGTTCATCGGCTTGGGGTAGAGGATGGATCTCACCAGATCCCCTTTGGCGGTGTTGAATCCTGAAACAACAAACACTCACCCTGCACTCTCAGAATGCAGATTCTACCAGTAGAGCTCTTTGAAACCTCGATAGTGCCTTTTTAGCCCCCCAGAGATATTGAAACTGTTTTTCCCCTAAGGTAACAGAAGGAGAATTGGGGAAATATAACTGCCTATCTCAGAACCCACTGTTCACTCTAGCCTTCCTTCCCTATTATTTCAATTTTTTTCTTTTTTTTTTTAAGAATTATTTAATTTTATTTATTCATTTATTTATTTTTATTTGACCAGAGAGAGAAAGAAAGTGAAAAAGCAAGCCACAGGTCCAGGACTTGAACCACGGTTGGCCATGTGGGAGTGTCCAGCACCCCAACCACCATGCCACCTGCTGGTCCCTATTATTCCAATTTTAAGGCACCCAGAAACAGAACATCACTTCACTGTGCCAGAGCACAATTTTTCCACATATAAATTTATTTAAAGGAAATGGTTCATGAAAATGCACACCTATGTGCCTGCTCATGTATACACATACACACATACAGGTCCCTGGCATGGAGGTTAAGACACTGCATGCCACACGGTCAACTGCACAGTTGAAGTCCTGGACCTGGTGGCTTGAAAATCATGCCAGGCAGGTGTGCGTGTATGCCCCAAATCCCAAGACGAAACTGGAGGAGAAGGGACTGTGGCGTAGCCAGCCATTCCCCCAGGAGGTAATTTCTTACTTTATCTCTCTCTCCTTCTGTCTCTCTCTCTCTCTCTCTGGTGAGTGCACACATCTTACAGCAAAGCTACACAAATACAAAAATTAAATGGCCCAATAAATACTGCTGTACTCATTTTTCTAATATTTTTCAGTGTTAAGTTTTAATTTCTAGTCCTGTCTAGAAAAAGCTTTGGAATTGGGGTTAGAATATCTTAATTCTAGATCCACCTCTGTCAGTTACTGGCCGTGTCATGATTGAAAAATTCACTTGAACTGTATGGCCAAGGTCCCTCATGTACAAAGCCGGGACAGTAGGCATATTTGCTCTGATGAGTGGATATGTAGAAATAGCTTATAAACTGCAAAGCAGATAAATAATCATTGATTGCCATCTATATTATTATTATTTATACTGAAAGACATATGCCATAGTTCAATGAGCATTTAAAATGTATAGATTTGGATATGTTTGGCTTATTATCTGAAGAGCACTTCTTTCCTAATGGATTTAAGGCGCTGAGCAACATTTTGTGAAAATAACAACACGGAGAAGGGGAGACTAACCAGTGCGCAGTACGACCGCTCTCACAGTTCCTGGGCCAGCCGCCTTGGCCTGGATAACCTCTGTCCCGCAGAAAAGGACATGCCGCTTGTAATCCGTTTCACTCTGCATCTTCCAGGACACAGAGCCATCCATCTTGGGTAATGGAGTTTTAGTGACCGGAATACTTTCCCCTACAGAAAACAAGCAACTTGTTTTGTGAGGTGGGATACCGTCTCTCATTTTAATCATGTGCTCACTGCTCACGCAACAGACATTCACAGTGAGCCTAGCAGGTGGCAGAGACAACCCGAGCTGTGGGAATACGAGGGTAAGCATAGCTCTGCTCTGTAAGTGTTCTGTAGTTAGAGTGGGAGATAGAAATGTAACAGACAAATAGAATCGTGTGCTACAGATACTGTGAGTGTGGGAAATCAAACAGGGTTGATAATAGGCTGGAATAACCACTTAGGGGACGCCAAGCTGTGGAGTCTAAACCATGGGATATGGCGAATAAGAGGCCATGAGAGTTACGCGGGAGCCAAGAATGGAGGGGCCTACGTGTAACACACTGAAGTGCTTAAGCGTTTTTCTGTAGGCACTGGCGGCTGAAGGAGAAAGGAAGATATTTAACTGCTTTAATCAGAAGAATAATATCACATTTATGTATGAGGGGGAGTGCTCTGTCTACTGTACAGGGAAAGAACCGAGGTCAGACATCCAGTTAGAAAATGATTACAGGTGTCTAGGCTCGCGGTAACGAGGTCTCACCTGCATCTGGAAGTGGGAATAGAGGGAAGATTAGATTGAAGAAACAGGGAAAGAAGCTATGAAACGAGGAAATGTTAGATCAGCAAGGCCATAGGGACGAAAGGATTTACAACTTCCTGGATCCTGACTTAGGAGGATGAGCAGAGGGTGGTAGTTTTCACTAACAGCAGGTTAACAGGAGGAGAGAAGAACGGCCTTTTGGTCCTGCTGAGTTGGAGCTGCCTCGTAGAATGGCCACACTGAGAAGCCTTGCAGGCAGTTGGATATTTATCTGGATCACCTCAAACGTGAGGCCTTGACTAGAGATAATTAATTGGAGCTCATTAGTTTGTGGACGATATTTAAGCCAGGGAAA